ATTGCCCTCTCGCGTGTACGTACTACCTCTGCCCTCTCCTCTGAGTGCTGTGTCTCCACTCCATATCACGGCCGACCCCAAAAATTAGGTTTCATGTTTTCTATGATGCTTTTTGCTTTTCCTCGTCACCAGTGCTCCTCACTGCAGTCGATGCACTTATTGCCTATTTTTGAACAAAATAACACACCTATTCCATCTCGGTTCGTGCCTTTGACACGTTGGCGATGCTGACCGACAGCTTGCAAGTAAGGAAACATACATAGATGAAACCCGCGACTTTTCTATTTCAACGTTTACTTCAGTGTCCTAACTTACTACACTTGTCTGCGAATTATGATCTTTCTAATTCCTGGGAGTTTTATTCTGAATTAGTTATCAGTGGCAGAAACGCGCTGTCAATTGAATCACAACCACAAAGTTCCCACCGTCAGCAAACTGGAAATCTCACTAAAATTGTTCATATCGACCTTTACTAATTAGGTCACCGTCAGTAGAATGTCCATTTCTAGCCTTAGGTTCCCATGATGGTCAAGTAGGCTCAGTCTTACTCATAGGCAGGACAAAAGTACCTATCCAGTCCATCAACTGCCAAATATTTCACAAACAATTTTTTGACCTTGAAATGACTCGTTTAAATCTCTTATTCGATCATGAAGAACAAGATAACAGTCAAACAAAAGCTCATTCCGTCAGGTACGCAAAGTTTTTTGCGTCGTTCTTGAGTGAAAAATTCGTAGAAGATTTCAGATGTGATCAGGATACCAGTACCATCTAAAGGAAAGCTCATATTAATAATAAAAATGAAGAATGCGTGAAATTGCGCCTTCAAATTCTAACCTGAGTTTGAGAATGCCAAAATGCCAGATTCTGCCACTGAAATTTCATCCCAGCATTCAGTAGTAACAACTTTTCTTTGTTTCTAAAGTGTTTGGAGCACTACAGTGGAAGCGTTAGTATGTATACAGGGTGGGGCAAAATTACTGGTGCACTAAATTTTCAATGGCATTTTGACAATAATTCTCACAAATCAATTCTAATTATCAATATTATTTACTACAAACATGACAATACAAAAAATGTTAATGCTTCTCAAAATGATCTCCTTTAGCCTTCACACAGTCCTTCAGACGTTCGACAAATGTTTCGCATGTGCACGCAGGTACTGGCACGATTGTCCCAAGATTCTGAAAGCGCCGCCTTAAGAGAGTCCAAGTTTGGATGTCTGGTAGAACACGCTTTGCTCTCCAGATGGACCACACAGAGTAATCCATCGGGTTTAGATCAGGAGAACTGGAGGGCCATTCGTCGTGTCTGATGAAGTCGGGCAGGTGCTCGGCGCACCACTCCTGGACCATCTTTGCTTTGTGTGCTGGAGCAGAATCCTGCTGGAAGCACCAGTAGGCTTCTCCGAAATGGGAGTTGGCCCACGGCTTGAGAACTTCCTCCAGGATATTTTTGTAAACCTCTGCGTTGATTTTTACACCAGCTTCAACGAAAACAAGTGGGGTCTTCCCCGTAGAGGTGACTCCTCCCCAAACAAGAATGGACTGGGGTGTTTCGCTCTTTCCTGGAGTCTTGCCTTGGTGGTAGCATCAGCAAGTGATCCTGCAATAATCCTCTCATTTTGGGAGTTGAAGGCTGGATTCAGAGTAAAAATCTTTTCATCACTGAAAACGATGTCTCGGGCGCGTGCCACCGTGAATCGCTGCAGCAACTTCTTGCATCTCTCCAATCTCCTTTTCTTCATAATGTCCGTCAGGAGTTGGCATTTCTGCAAGCGATAGGGGAACTTCCTTAGCTTACTTCTGACAATCCTCCTCATTGACCTCGCGCTTACTCCAACGTCTTTCGCCATCTGGCGCATCGATCTCCTGGCGTTCCTTCGAATTCTTTCTCTGACGAGCCTCACATTTCTCCGACTCGTAGCTGTTGTGGACGTCCTCTTCCTTCCCTGTCCTCTTCGGTCTTCAGTTCTTTATAGCGTCGTACTGTATTCTGAACCGTCCTTCGAGGTACGGAAAGGATCTTCACAATTTCTCTTGTTTGCTTGCCGTCGTTGTGAAGTTTGATGATCGCGCTCCGTAGGTCAGAACGACGGACCATTTTGTATTCGAGTACGTAGGAATTACGCAACCTCCAGGCAACATATCACAAGCGAGTGAAACAGGAAAATCTCCAAGAAGTGTTAAAAAATTCAAAACGTATAGGTGCACCAGTAATTTTGCCCCACCCTGTAGAATCCAGTTTGGTAAAGGAATTCAGAGTAAACCTTGCCCTGCGAAATGCGAAAAAACGTCTCGTCCATGCGCTCGCAAAACAAAAATGCGCTCGTCGTCAACGTGTTAAAGGGGATTCCATACACGGAACATACAGATACTACCGACTTATCACTTTTCCTGACATAATAGCACAATCGAGCGGAAGCGGTATAGTGGCAAGTGGCGCGCTTACCACGCGAGCGGTCCGGGGATCAAATCCTGGGTC